CCTGCCCACGGACGGGGGCCGGGCCCCACACGTCCATGTGAAGCGTCTGCAGAGGAGCCTCTGTCGGGGGAAACTGGGAGGAGTGAGGAGCAGCCCTGAGGCGCCCCTCGACACAGGGGACACAGGAAGGTCCTGGTCCCGAAGGAAGGGGAGGGAGAGACTGGGGAAGACCAGAGACAAGGACACGGGAAGCCATGCCCCGAAGACGGGGCAAGGAGGGGTGGCCTAGACGGTGGTGCCACAGAAGAGTCTCGTGAGGACCAGACCTGGACGCAGCAGCAAACACCTGACCCGACGCTGCTACCTGACCGGACGCGGGGACAGGAGGAGACTCAGTGGTCAGGGTGTAGAGGCTCGACCCCGGCCGACGCAAGAACGTGGCCAGGTGCCGGCCTGTGCGTGCGTCCGTGCAGTGGGTCACCCGCTGACTCGCAGGAGTGAACTGGTGAACCCCCGCATCCTGTAGGTCTGCACCACTCACCAAGTTCGTCGAGAACGAGGGGAGGTACAGGCCGGACAGGGTGCCCGAGGGGGCAGCCGGACACGGGAGGACAGTGGAGAAGTGAGCGAGGACAGGACCCCCAGAGGGGTCAGCCAGGGAGACAGCAACCGGCCGACCAAGCGGCGTGAGTGTGGTGCGGTCCCGAAAGAAGGAGCGAGAAGCCCCAGAGTCAAGTGTAAAGGTGAGGGAGGCCGAAGCCAACGCGGTACCTGAGAGCGCAGCCTCACCCGCACCTGAGGAAGCAGACTCACTAGCACCTAGAGCAGCAGCCGCACCTGTACCTGGAGCAGGAGACTCACTAGCACCAAGAGCAGCAGCCTCACCAGTAGCTAGAGCAGCAGGTCCTATACCTGGGTCAGGCGGGACGCACAGGTGACCGGCACGGTCAGCACTAGTAGGCAATGCATACATGGCAGTGAGAATAGCATCATAGTCAAGAGCATATATATCTACCCTCTGCCTAAGCAACTCCACCCAGTCGGGAAGCTCAGCCTCGTCGCCAAACACGGTACGCCAGGCGTCGCTCAGACGGGCGAAGCAGCGGGACGGTGTATGACTACGTGTCCCACAAGGCTGACCAGTCCGAGTACCAGTGCGAATCACGTAAGAGCAGCGAACAGCACTGAGAGACCCTCCACTCTGAGCGTACCACTCACGAAGCTGGCGAGGCGTGAGAGACACGCGAGAGGGCCGCGGGAGCTGCATCTGGCCGCCACCACGAGTAGAAGCAGCAGGAGTGGTAGTAGGAGTAGCGTCGCCACCCCTACAGCCCCAACCAGCGTACCACTCACGCAGCTGCTGGGGCGTGAGGGACTCACGCCGGCGTCGCTGGGGCTGCATTTGGCTCCGCAAGTAGAAGCAGGAGCAGGACTAGCAGCAGGGAGGCAGGCAGCCAGGCAAGCCAAAAGGCAGGCAGGCAGGCAAGCAGGCGACGCGCAGCGTGCTAGCAGGGCAAGAGCTCACCAGTGGTGGGAAGAGTAGGCTCGGCGACTCAGCGGCTCGGCAGCTCGGCGGCTCGGCGGCTCAGGCGACTCGGGCGGCTCGGCGGCAACTGCAGCTCAGCAGCTCGGTGACTCGGCGGCTCGGCGGCAGGGCGGCTCGGCAGCAACTGCAGCTCAGCAGCTCAGCGACCCGGCGGCTCGGCGGCAGGGCGGCTCGGCTGCTGGGCGGCTCGGGTGCAGGGCGGCTCGGCGGTGGGGCGGCTCGGCTGCTGCAGTGGGAGATGAAGGAGGAGGAGGGCCGGCGGCGGGCTGTAGCAGGGGCCGGTGGCGGCTGTAGCAGGGCCGGTGGCGGGCTGTAGCAGGGCCAGTGGCGGGCTGTAGCAGGGGCCGGTGGCGGCTGTAGCAGGGCCGGTGGCGGGCTGTAGCAGGGCCGGCGGCGGGCTGTAGTAGGGGCCGGTGGCGGCTGTAGCAGGGCCGGTGGCGGGCTGTAGCAGGGGCCGGTGCGGGCTGTAGTGGGGCCGACGAGGGGCCGAAGTGGGGCCTAGGCGGGCCGGCGGGCTGTAGGCGGGGCCGACGCGGCGGGCTGTAGCAGGGGCCGGTGGCGGGCCTAAGCGGGGCCAGCGCGGGGCCGACAGGGCGTAGGTGGGGCCGACGCGGGGCCGAAGAGGGGCCTAAGCGGGGCCGACGGAGCCTACGCGGGGCCGACACGGGGCCGAGGCGGGGCCTGGGCGGGGCCTACGCGGGGCCGACGAGGTGTACGCGGGGCAGACGAGGTGTACGCGGGGCCGACGAGGTGTACGCGGGGCCGACGAGGTGTACGCGGGGCCGACGAGGTGTACGCGGGGCCGACGAGGGGTACGCGGGGCCTACGCGGGGCCGACGAGGGGTACGCGGGGCCTACGCGGGGCCTACGTGGGGCCGACGAGGGGTACGCGGGGCCTACGCGGGGCCGACGAGGGGTACGCGGGGCCGACGAGGGGTACGCGGGGCCTACGCGGGGCCGACGAGGGGTACGCGGGGCCGACGAGGGGCCTAAGCAGGGGCCGACGAGGGGCCTAAGCTGGGCCGACGAGGGGCCTAAGCGGGGCCGACGAGGGGCCTAAGCGGGGCCGACGAGGGGCCTAAGCGGGGGGCCGACGAGGGGCCTAAGCGGGGGGCCGACGAGGGGCCTAAGCGGGGGGCCGACGAGGGGCCTAAGCAGGAGCACGACGGGAGGGGCGACTCGGAGGGTCGCTAAAAAAAATGCGCGCCTCGGGGCGCGCTTCGGTGGGCCCTAGGAACAGGCCCTAGGAAGGGACCTGCTCTGATTCCATGTGAGAATAAGCGAACAGGGATGAATGAACTAGCAGTGAAATGAGTACAAGTAGTGAAACCCTAGAATTGTGTACCCCCTATAGGCTAACCCACTGTAGCCTACACAAGCATAACATATATACTGTTTGACACGACGCAATCCTGGTCGTCGTCGATCGGTTGACGAAAATGGCACATTTCGCAGCTTGCAAGAAATCGATCACAACCGAAGAAACAACCCGCCTCTGCATCTCCACCGTCGTTCGATTGCATGGGATACTAGCAGCAATTATCAGCGACCGCGACACGAAGTTCACCAGCAAATTCTAGCGGAACCTATAGGAGCAGTGTGGCACTCGACTACAATTTAGTTCTTTGTACCACCCCGAGACTGACGGACAGACAGAACGGACAAACTAGACCATAGAGCAACTCATTCGAGCCACGTGCGACGACCCGACCACATGGAAACAGCAGCTGCCACTCATCGAATTCGCGTACAACAACTCGCCATCCACCACCACCCAACAGTCACCGTTTTATCTAAACTACGGACAAGACCCCACAGTATACATGACCCCAAATCCCGACAACCCGGTGCCACGCGCGCAACAGTTCGCCGAAATTTTACAAGCTGTACGAACCAGAGCAGCAGACGCAATTAAAAAAACAAACTTCATCGCTAAACGCAACGCCGACCGCCACCGCCGACCTGTCACTTACCGGCCCGATAGCCTAGTTTTACTCGACACCCATTACCCATTACCCCAAAACTCCGCCCCCGATATTGCGGGCATATTCGCATCAGCCACATCATCATACCCGTCACCGCCCACCTCCTCCTCCCCGCTGACTGGTACATCATCCCGTCATTCCACGTCAGCCTGCTTCACCCTTACGTACCATCCACCAGCCAACTGCCCCGCAACCGCCCAGCCAGCATGACACGACCGCCGACGGAACCAATCATCACGCCCGAGAAGTTTCTGAGCCACCGAGTGCGTGACCCACGGGGAGCTCGTCGGATCGAATATCTGATCCGCTGGAAAGACCGAACGCCCACCGAGGACAACTGGGTTCCGCTGGACAGAATCGATAACCACCCCGTCCTCACGGAGTATCTGCGGAGCCAAAATTTCCGGGATGTATACGCGCTTTCATAAGGAAGGCCTCCTTAGGGGGGGGGGGGGGGGGGTAGTGTAAGGAAAATTCCTTTTCCTTACTTCGCGTCCCTGCTCAGCGCCTACACCACTGTTCCCGCCAACAGCACCCAACAGTGAGCCGTTATCACTCGCGACATTCTCATCGACACTGTTCCCGCCAGTGTTCACGACGCGACCCAACCTCACGGTTCGGTTGGTAACCTTGCGCTCCGGACCTCCGCCTCATCATTTCCCGACCTCGACGCCAGGCCCGTCGTGCACCCCATTTTCATGCATTAACGTTACCACTATAGTTTCGCTACATATTCTTCGCTCATGCCTTCGCTCATTGTAATCTTGCTTAGAGAGTGCAATTCTCGTTCGTTCACTCAATTGCACTCTTAACAACAGAACACACCTTCCCAACGGGCCAGGCCCGGTCAATTTGAAATGCGATCCAATTTTCGCAGTGCGTGTTTGCAAATGCAATCTTTTTGGGCAGAACCATGCGGCTGCCCGTGTTTAGGGTTGGGGCTCCCCGTGTTTAGGGTTGGGGCTCCCCTTACCGCATGCCATCCAGATGGGGTTTATTTTTTTCTGACCGCGGGCAGATAACGACCCCTCAGCTTCTTCCACTGGGGATCGCATTTGCAAACCGCGCTGGCCTAATTGGATTTGCATCAGATATTTGCCAGGGCTCGTTTTGGGACAGCTCAGCGTCGAAGTTCTGGGTTCGGACCAATCGACAGCGCTGTGGTGTCGACGAGTCAACGCCTTGCTCCTCCAGCACATGGGCCAAAACAGAAAGTGCGGGTAATCCGTAGATATTTGCTCGAAATTTGGACAGGCACCGTTCTGCAACGTGCTATAACTTACTGAACCAGAGAAAAGTTGAAATGAAGTACAACGCAGAACCTTTGCGTTGTCCCCGACCCAATCCCGACTTCCCCTCCCACCCAAGTTCCCAAATCCCAACGCAAAACGCCATTACAACTTCAATCGGTGATCATTCGTTCCAGGCAGCCTGTTTCCAACGTTTGCTTTGCATCTACTCCCCATTTGAAATAACCTTTCCGCTTATTTCTCCCGTGTTCGTGCGCCTCGTGATTCTCTCTGAGAGCTATGGAGCCGCGGTCCCGTCTACCTCTCGCAGTCCTCACACTACTCGCCCTCCTCTCTCTCCTCGCCTCTTCAGTCGCTGCCGCCGACGTCTCAGCGGCCGATGCGCAAGCTGGCACGCTGGCCGCACAGGCAAGCCGTTTTCCCGCATTTTCCTTGTAGCGGTCGCGATCTCATTGCCGTCGCGTTTCCTTTCGTGTAGCACAGTGCGAAACCAGGCCTAGCTCTTTCACAGTTTCCTTGCCATTCATGTTTTCAATCTAGACGACGTTTTTTCTCCATCCTCGTTACGAGCTGCATCGATATTCGCGTCCGTGTGTCTTCCATGGCGTCTTCTGAGGTGCCTCAGAAGTCCTCTATAACGTCCATTGCATCTGCCAGCAGCGGCGTAGCGTGAGTGGATCTCAGCCACGTGGATGACTTTTGAGACGTGCGACTCTCGTAACGGGTATATTCCTCCCCCCTTTCCTCTTTAACCCCACCACCCCCACCCCCCTCTTCTCCCCCTTCCTCCCCCTTCCTCCTCTCCCCCCCCCCCCCCCCCCCCCCCCCCTTCCCCTTTCCCCCCCCTCCCCCGCCCCGTCCCGCCCGGAGGCCGCGACAGCTACTGCTAGTAGCAGCGCCGTGGCGGGCGTGGATCTGAGCCGCGTGGTTCAACTTTTAAACGTGTGTGCTTGTAACGGGTATGTGTCATCCCTATCCCCGCCTGCAGACTGCCTCCGCCACTGCGACCAATAGTAGCGTGGCGGGCGTGGATCTGAGCCGCGTGGTGCTCCTGTCGCCGTGGGCGCCGCGCGCGTTCCTCTACAAGCAATTTCTCAGCGACGCGGAGTGCGACCACATCATCGCACGCGCGACACCACGCCTCGAACGGTGCGTGGGGGCAGAGTGGGGGGTATGCGGTGGGGTCGCGTGGTGAATGGAGGGCGGAAGATGTGGTGGGGTCGCGTGGTGGGGAGTTCGCGGATGGGGAGAGTGAGGAATGCTGGAAGGGAAAGGTAAGGAATGGACGCGAAGATTAGTGGTTGAAAACTTCCTTTGACCGGATATCATCAAGATCCAATAACAGACACAGACACACACAGACACAGACACAGACACAGACACAGATACACACACACACACACACACACACACACACACACACACACACACACACACACGGGTAAAACTAAACAAACAAGCAAAAACCAAACAAAACAGACCTACAGGGTCCGTTCGTCCTCCCCTCCACCACTCCCTTGTCCGCTCCGGCATGGTGAACAGCGACGACGGCAGCTTTGTGAGCGAGATAGCACGCGAGTCACACGGGTTCCTCCCTCTACCCTCTCCCCCTCTTTCCTCCCCCTCCCCCTCTTTCCTCCCCCTCCCCTCTCCCCTTCTTCCCTGCACCTCTCAGCTCGGGCGTGGTGAACAACGACGACGGTAGCAGCTTCGTGAGCGACATTCGCACGAGCTCAGGCGCGTTTCTCAACAAGGGCGAGGACGCCGTCATGCGCACAGTGGAGCAGCGCATCTCCGAGTGGACCTTCCTCCCACTCCAGAACCAGGAGGCACTGCAGGTGAGCGTGGGCCCCTGTGATTCGTTATACTCGTTATAAGCTGCTGGTAGAGGCTCCTGTGCACGCCCCAGTGGACGTTCCTGCCCCTGCAGAACCAGGAGGCGCTGCAGGTGAGCCGCCCCTGTGACGAACTCAGGCGCGTTCCTGAACAAGGGCGAGAACGATGTGATGCCAACAGTGGAGCTGCGCATCTCCGAGTGGACCTTCCTCCCACTCCAGAACCAGGAGGCACTGCAGGTGAGGCACCTCTCACTCTTAATACTCGTTATAGGCTCCTGTGCATGCCCAGTGGACCTTCCTGCCGCTGCACAACCAGGAGGCGCTGCAGGTCAGTCCTTTGTCCCTATGACCCATGTTCCTCTGACCCCCATGCACAGCCCCTTGCTACCCATTCAGGTGCTGCCATACACCAAGGGACACAAGTATGAGCCGCACATGGACGATTTCCACAACACCGCGAACCGCCTCCTATTTCCCTCACCTCTTTCTCCCTCTATCCGCTCCCTCCGCTTTTCCCCTACCCCTCCCCCAGGTGCTGCGGTACACCAAGGGGCAGAAGTACGAGCCACACGTGGACTATTTCCACGACGCCGTGAACACGCAGAGGGGCGGCCACCGCTACGCCACCGTGCTCATGTACCTCAACAACGTGACGCTGGGCGGGGAGACTGTGTTTCCCAAGGTCAAGGATGACTCACCTAAGGACGAGACTTGGTCTGACTGCGCCAAGGGCTTTCTGGCTGGTGAGTGGTGGTTGGTGTGAGCGTGCAGCAGGGCCACCGCTACGCCACGGTGCTCATGTATCTCAACAACGTGACTCTGGGGGGCGAGACCGTGTTCCCCAAGGTCAAGGACGACTCGCCCAAGGATGAGACTTGGTCGGATTGTGCCAAGGGCTTTCTGGCTGGTGAGTGTTGGGGTGGTGGGGGGTCATGGGGCTAGATGGATTGATGGGGGTGGGGTGTGGAGGTGGTGGAGGTGGTGGGGGTGGTGGGGGTAGATGGGAACCTTGAGGGTGGTGGCACGGATGACAGAAGCGGGATTGAGTCTTGCTGAGCACACTGCGCCCTTGGTGTGACGCGCCCTTGGTGTGACCGTGAGGGAACCTGTAGGGCAGACGGGTCAGCGCATGCATTGAGCAATCCGCCCTTGCTCCCTCCTGTCCTTGCACGTATCTCTCCCCTCACGTCTTCGGCGCCCACCCCACCAGTGAAGCGAGAGAAGGGAGATGCGCTCCTCTTCTTCAACCTCCACACCACCGGCACCCCTGACAGCAGCCCCGACGGCACCCCTGACAGCAGCCCCGACGGCACCCCTGACAGCAGCCCCGACGGCACCCCTGACCCCGCCAGCCAGCCTGCATTACACCTGCCCCGTGCTGCATGACGTCATGTGGTCCTCCTTCCTCCCCCACTTACTCCCGCTATCTTTCTCCCTCCCTTGCCTTCTCTCTCTTCTCTCCCCCTCTCTCCCTCTCTCTCCTCCTCTCTTCCCCTTCCTCCCTCTCCCATCCCCTGCCCATCCCACCAGTGAAGCCAGAGAAGGGAGACGCGCTGCTCTTCTTCAACCTGCACCCAGACGGCACGCCAGACCCCGCCAGTCTCCATTACGCCTGCCCCGTGGTGCACGGCGTCAAGTGGTCCGCGCCCAAGTGGATCCACGTGGCAGACTTTGATAAGCCGCTCGCCAGTGCTGATGCTGGCGCCGGCGGCGCGGCTGCTGCTGGTGGGGGTGGGGGTGATGGCGCGTGCACGGACAGCAATGCATAGTAAGTAGGAGGGCTGTTGCGTTGACTCAAAAGTCAATTCATGGAGAATGAGGGGGCTGGTGCTGAAGAGTCTAGTGATGAAGGCGAGTGCAGAGGCGCCAAGGAATCGTAGTGGCATGGTGGGAGTGCCCATGGCATGGTGGGTGTGCCCATGGCATGGTGGGTGTGCCCATGGCATGGTGGGAGTGCCCATGGCATGGTGGGAGTGCCCATGGCATGGTGGGTGTGCCCATGGCATGGTGGGTGTGCCCATGGCATGGTGGGAGTGCCCATAGCATGGTGGGTGTGCCCATGGCATGGTGGGTGTGCCCACGACATGGTGGGTGTGCCCATGGCATGGTGGGAGTGCCCATGGCATGGTGGGAGTGCCCATGGCATGGTGGGTGTGCCCATGGCATGGTGGGAGTGCCCATGGCATGGTGGGAGTGCCCATGGCATGGTGGGAGTGCCCATGGCATGGTGGGTGTGCCCATGGCATGGTGGGAGTGCCCATGGCATGGTGGGAGTGCCCATGGCATGGTGGGTGTGCCCATGGCATGGTGGGAGTGCCCATGGCATGGTGGGAGTGCCCATGGCATGGTGGGAGTGCCCATGGCATGGTGGGTGTGCCCATGGCATGGTGGGTGTGCCCATGGCATGGTGGGAGTGCCCATGGCATGGTGGGTGTGCCCATGGCATGGTGGGTGTGCCCATGGCATGGTGGGAGTGCCCATGGCATGGTGGGAGTGCCCATGGCATGGTGGGAGTGCCCATGGCATGGTGGGAGTGCCCATGGCATGGTGGGTGTGCCCATGGCATGGTGGGAGTGCCCATGGCATGGTGGGAGTGCCCATGGCATGGTGGGAGTGCCCATGGCATGGTGGGTGTGCCCATGGCATGGTGGGTGTGCCCATGGCATGGTGGGTGTGCCCATGGCATGGTGGGAGTGCCCATGGCATGGTGGGAGTGCCCATGGCATGGTGGGTGTGCCCATGGCATGGTGGGAGCGCCCATGGCTTGGTGGGAGTGCCCATGGCATGGTGGGAGTGCCCATGGCATGGTGGGAGTGCCCATGGCATGGTGGGAGTGCCCATGGCATGGTGGGTGTGCCCATGGCATGGTGGGAGTGCCCATGGCATGGTGGGAGTGCCCATGGCATGGTGGGTGTGCCCATGGCATGGTGGGAGTGCCCATGGCATGGTGGGTGTGCCCATGGCATGGTGGGTGTGCCCATGGCATGGTGGGAGTGCCCATGGCATGGTGGGAGTGCCCATGGCATGGTGGGTGTGCCCATGGCATGGTGGGTGTGCCCACGGCATGGTGGGTGTGCCCATGGCATGGTGGGAGTGCCCATGGCATGGTGGGAGTGCCCATGGCATGGTGGGTGTGCCCATGGCATGGTGGGAGCGCCCATGGCTTGGTGGGAGCGCCCGTGGCATGGTGGGTGTGCCCATGGCATGGTGGGTGTGCCCATGGCATGGTGGGTGTGCCCATGGCATGGTGGGTGTGCCCGTGTGTTGGGAGCGAGTCAAATGGACCCATCTGGCCCACTTTGATCAGCAGTTGGGGACTGGTGATGCTGCTGATGCTGCCGCTGATGCTGATGCTGATGGTGCTGGTGGCGAGTGGGGGAATTGGCACGGACAGCAGTGCAAAGGAAGCGGCAAGGCTGCTACAAATTGGAAACTTCTATGGAGGATTTCTCATCATCCTACATGCCTTCCCTCCTGCATGTGCTGATGTCATCTCCACATATCCCTTTCCCCTGCATGTCTCACTCTAGTATCGCAGCTACCCCCCCTACCCCATGTATGCTCATTGCTCATGCCGCTCATTCCACCTCTCCCCTCCCCTTGTGTGTGTGTATGTGTACGTCTGTGCACGCATCACAGCTGCCAGTACTGGTCAGAGGCGGGCGAGTGTGAGAAGAACCCCGTGTACATGCACGAGGCGTGCCGCAAGGCCTGCAAGGTCTGCTCCTAGACAGCCGCCGCCTGTCTCTCCACTCTACACGCTGTCACGCGCACGCTCGTTCCTCTCAACATCCTTGCAGCAAGCATCTTCAGTGTTTTGCCATCAAGAATGGTGCTGGAACCTGCTATGCTATGGCTTATGGCAGAGTAAACCATTTTCCGCTCTTGACCCATGACTGGGGGTTTGCTATAGCCAACTGTGTTCAATGTTTCATTGTGTATGTACAGTTATTATGGATTGGATTGACAGTGATACACGGAACTTCCAGGCGCACTAGCAAATGACAGCTGGAGGCTGTTGGAAACAATTAACTCTAAGTGCCTCTGTCGTGTCGAAACCAGGCCTCGCGTTTTCAGAGTAAATTACTCTGTTTCTCTGAAAATCATAGTCATTTTTTAAAGTAACTCTGTACCCATTGGGTAATCTTTTTGGGACTTACGATGTCTCTGATTTGTCAGAGTTATGCTGTAGTCTACTCAGAGGCCTCTGGGTTTTTTTTTCGGGGACCGAATTTACTCTGTATACGGAATACCTGCCGGCCCCCCCCTCCCCCGCCCCCCCTCCCCTCCCCACCTCCCCCTGCGTTTAGCGGGTTTTCCCCGAATCGTCGAGATCATTCTCCTGATTTCTGTCGTGTGTTGGCGGCAATATGAGCACTGATTGGCTACCGTAGTTTGACAACTTTCCCAACCAGCGCACGATGCCAGCCAGTCCCCTCTCTCTTTACCATGTCTGAAGTGAACGTTGACGTTTCCCGACGAAACTTTGAGGGACGTCGAGGAATCCTGACGGTCGGAACGCTTAATCCGAGGGTTGAGATTCGCCAGCATTCCCCGACGAAACTGTACATCCGTCGACATTTCACTTCAGACACGCTCTTTGGGGGTGTCCGAAGTGAAACGTCGACATCCGTGGACATCCGTTTGGGGATGTCGGTAAATCCTGACGGTTGGAACTGTCGATCCGAGGGATGACATTTACCGACATCCAACGACATCTATTGACGTTTCACTTCGGACACGCCCTTAGTCAGATTATCGGTGACGCCAACACCTCACTCTGAAACATCGCAGTGAGGGGGGAAACGTGGGCGACGCGGAAATGCAAGTACAAAAGGCATAACAAAAACCTATTAAGGTCATGGTACACCAAACTTAACTAACATCAGAGTAGAGAAAAATATTACTCCGGCGTGCCTGGGTTTTTTTTTGAAAGTATAGGGTTACTCTGACAAATCAGAGTAAGGCGCAGGAACAACCTTAGATTTCAGAGTTGGGAAAAAAACTACTCTGGAAATCAGAGTACCTAAAATCCAAAAATAGGCCCTGGTCGAAACACCAAGTCAAAAGCGAAGCGAAGCATATCGAAGCACTGGCGAGTCAACCCTCGGAGGTTGAGCAGTTGCTGGAGGTTACGCGAAAGTCAAAGGTCAGCGACCTTTGACCTGACAAGTACAGCGCGACAGCAAGGACACACAACTGACTCGTTACAGAGCACTTGCCCGAGTCGTCACTGTATCGAACCGCAACAGCAACAGTAAAATAGTTATAACTGTACCTCTTCATATTGTTGTAGGGTAAACTCTGTGTAAAGTGATGTAGTAGCGGAAGCGTTTAATAAGAAGATTCTGAACCACCTTGCGCTGGTATGTGAGGGCAAAGTAAGTTGATTAAAGCATGCAAATACAAGGTTTTATATAAGAGTATGTCAGAATGAGAAACGAGAATGAGGAGTGACTAGCAGGAACAACAGTACAAATATGTCAAACCCTAATCTGGTGTACCCCTTATGGTGTGACCCACTACAGCCTAGAACCACACAAACATATAAATGTTTGACACACCCCCATAGGCAAAGTGGGGGAGACCTAGGGGTCACAAGACCAGTCAAGGCAAAACAAGGCAAACAAGCTCAGGGTGGATCTCGAGGATTCCACACAAATTCCGAGCACAAGCAAGCGGTCACAAGACCAGTTCACATGCAGTTTTATAATAGAGCAAGAGGTACAATGATCACAACCTAACAAGGCAAACATGCAGGTATATATATAATGATCACAGTACAGGTAAAGTCAAGAAGTAAGTAAGTGAGAAATAGTCGGCACAAGGCCTAGAAGAGTGCAAAAACGCTGATGGTCAACAGGCGGAAGCGACTTGGTGAACACATCAGCAGTGTTGGCCTCAGTGGCCACGTAACGCAGAAGAAGCTGACCACGCTGCTGTAGCTCTCGAGCTAGAAAGTAACGCAGAGCAATGTGCTTCGTCCTGTGCTCCAGTCTGTGCTCCTGGCACAAGGCAATGGTTGCCTTGTTGTCGACGTACAGCACTGGAGGAGAACGAGGCTGCTCTCCAAGGTCAGTCAGCAGGTAGGTGAGCCAGCGAAGCTCCTGGGCAGCCATGGCCGTGGCGTAGATCTCAGCCTCACAGCTGGAGCTGAGAACAGAAGAAGAACGAGTAGAACGCCAAGAGACAGAGCCAGAGCCAAGACTGAAGGTGTAACCCTGAGACGACCGCTGAGTAGCCTGGTCGTCTGCCCAAGAAGCGTCTGAGTGCCCAGTGAGAACAGGCCGGTCTCGCCCTCCAAGCACTAGCCCCATGCCCGACGTACTGCACAAGTAGCGCAACACCCTCTTAGCTGCATCCATGTGCTCCTTCCGGTGACGGCCGGGAGCAACATAGCGTGCTAAGATGCTGAGAGGGTATGCTAGGTCAGGTCGAGTGCAGGTCATCAGGTACATGAGGCAGCCCACAAGCTCTGGATACGGACCACTCGACTCTACGGACTCATCCGAAGGCAGAGCTGAGAGCGAGTGACCCGTAGGCAGAGGAGTGGACTGAGGCGAGGAGTACGTGAAGCCGAAGCGCTGAAGGACCTGCTGCACCATATGTGACAGAGTCAGGGTAATAGTGCGGCGTGCTCTGTCCCGGGTGATCCGCAAGCCAAGATAGCTTGTCAGTTCACCCAGGTCTGTGCACGTGTGTCTCTTCTGCAGCTCGGACTTCACGTGGGCGAGTGCGGCAGTGTCCGCAGTGGCAAAGACCAAGTCGTCGACGTACACGAGGATGTAGAACGTCGGCAGCGAGGTGTCGGTGCGTAGAAACAGCGACGGGTCAGCAGTAGAAGGAGCAAACCCAAGAGCCGCAAGTGTAGTCCTCAGTGTGTCGTGCCACTCACGCGGCGCCTGGCGGAGACCGTAGACTGGCCGCCGGAGGCTCCACTGGGTGCCAGGAGGGAAAGACCCAGTGAAGCCAGGTGGGCGGCGCAGCCAGATCTCCTCGTGCAGGCTGCCCTGCAAGAAAGCTGTGCTGAAGTCAAGAGAGTGGAGCTCGTAGTCACGCTGAGCGGCGACGTGTAGCAGAACCCGAAGAGTGGTCATCTTCGGGGTCGGGGAGAAGGTCTGGAAGAAGTCAACTCCCTCTCGCTGACTGAAGCCTCGTGCAACGTAACGCGCCTTGAAGACAGGCGGAGAGCCTGGCGGCCGCTTCACCCTGAAAATCCACATGCCACTGACGATGTTCGCCCCAGGTGGGGGAACGTCGTCGACGTAGGTGCCTGTGGACTTCCAGGAAGCCATCTGTGTGTCCATGGCTGACTGCCACTGAGAGGAGTAGGGACCGGCCATCGCCTCTGCGTAAGAGCGTGGGGTCGGGATGTCTGGTGCATCCGGGTCTCCCTCAGGGGCAACAAGCATGGACACGAGATGGGGCAAAGCAGCGGCAAGGCAACCAAACTCCTCCTGCCTGTCCTCAAGGACGTCCGTGCCAAGAGCACACTCACCCCCGACGGACGGAGGACAGGCAGACTCAGACTCAGCAACAAGACTCGCTGCGTAGTCTAGACGACACGCAGCTGCAAAGTCGACAAGCTCAGTGACTAGGGCAGACGCAGCAGCGGACTCAAAGGAAGGGTCAGTGACAACCGTAGCCAGGAGACGTGTGACAGTAGGACTGGCAGCGCGAAGGGAGTCTGACTCCGGGTCAGCAAGAGCATGAAGAGAGGACGCAGGAGGCGACGGGAGAGCAACACGCTGCGGAGCAGTGGACTGACAAAGCGCCATCCGGTGCGTGCCTGGGACAGCAGGAGGACGCTAACGCGGGACACGACTACCAGTGGTAGCAGCTCGAACAGGCGACGCTCGACGAGACGCAGGTGACACAGGACGTGACGCAGGCTCACGTCTCTCAGCAAGACCGTCTGTCGGACCAGTGTAAGGAGCAGGCACAGGGAGTGGGGAGGCAGGCGGTAACTGTGGCTGTGACTGGACAGACGGCGGACACTCTAAGGGGAGAGGAGAACAAGGAGGAGGAGGCTGACCAAGAACCTGCTGAAGGAGCGGAACGAAGTACGGTCGTGGCCGTGCAGCACCTCTCGAACCAGCAGAGACACCAGCGGCAGCAGCAGCACCTCCAGAAGCAGCAGCACCTCCAGCACCAGGGTCCGCAGCACCTCCAGCAGCACCGCCAGCAGCAGCAGTACCTCCAGCAGCACCGCCAGCAGCAGCTGGACCTCCAGCACCAGGGTCCGTAGCACCCACAGCAGCTCCAACGCCCGGGTCCTCAGTACTAGCAGCACCTCCAGCAGCACCGCCAGCACCAGCAGCACCTCCAGCAGCACCGCCAGCAGCAGCAGCACCTCCAGCACCAGGGTCCGTAGTACTCGCAGCAGCGTCAACTCCGGGGACCCCAGCACCAGCAGCTCCACTACGGAGACTGATGTGCTGAGCGTACCACTCTCGAAGCTGAGGGGAAGAGGGCGGCTCCCGCCGTGGTGGGGAAGCACGAGTACCAACTCCAGCAGTACCACGAGCCCGAGACTCACCCCGCCGGAGGCTGCAGTACCGTGAGTACCACTCACGCAGCTGCTGCGAAGAGGGAGGTCCTCCAGGCGCCTCACAGTCAACTGCAACACCACCAGGCTCAGCACCCCCAGGCTCAGCAACTCCAGGCGCAGTACCCCTAGACTCAGCAACGCCAGGCTCAGTACCCCCAAACCCAGCACCCCCAGGCTCA